CTGCTATCCTCAGAGTCAGCAGTTCGAAACTACCAGCTGCTATGCGGGAGAAAGATGAGGCATTCTGCTCCTGTACATAACAACAACAACATATATATATGTGTGTGTGTGTGTGTGTATACATATATGAGGTGGGGGTTTCAAAAACTTTGTGGAAAAAAGGAATTTAAAGAGAATGGAATTTTTGAAGGCCCTTATATTAGCTTCACTAGTTTTGCTTCACTAGAGAACCCAGTTTAAAACAGATTGTGAGGTAGGGGCATGACCTGGGCAGTGTTTCTTTCTGTTCTGCATAAAGTAAGTGGACTGAACATCAGTAACAACAACAAATCTTCACCCTCCTCTCAGAATTAAACCTCCAAATGCATGACAAAGGGCCCAAACCCATGAAGCAGGAGGAGCAGGTCTGAGTGCCTTTCAAAAAGCTTTCACCTGATCATTAATATTTTTTGACATCTCCCCTGCTCCAAGTCCATAAAAACGTCCTTTCAGTCTTAGTTCCTGAAGTATCTTTTGCAGTTCTTGAACCTTTTAAGGATTACAAGGTTTAAACTGAGTTGCTTCTCCTACCCTCGGCTTTGGTCAGGGACTTCTCATTCTTATGATTTTTACTTCCAAAATATTTCTGTCAACTGCTTGTCACTGTAGGTTTATACTTTCATTGGAGTTTAAGCATGGAAAGAAGCAAAATTAGATACTTGTATTCAAATCACCATTTTTACTCAGAGAGAATCCATAATTTAAAATTTTTTTGGCTATTCCAACTTTATTCCTTAGTCATCCTTTCCAAGACATGCTATTTCTTCATTGTGTAGTTCCTACATCCAGACTCCACAAGACGACAACCACAAAACAAAGCCAAAGAGAGGTTCGGTGTTGGGGGCTTTAGAGGTGGTAGAGATAAGTATTTTATTTAATTTCATCATCAGTCGGTCTGCATGGCGCTAAAGTACAGGCTCTCCAGGGGAACTTTCCTGACATCTTTTCCTTCTTCCTTCTTCTTTACTGGAACTGTGGCCTTTGCTCCTCCCAAGCTCCAGAGCCCCGCCCCGCCCCGCCTCGCCCCGCCAAAGGCGGTGGAAGCTCGCTCCAGCTGCGAAGAGACGCCTTCCCTGCAGTTTAGTAACCAGCCGGCATGTCGGAGACATCTCTCCGACACCCGCGCCTCGTCGCCAGCCAGCTGTGCCTTCTCTCGGGACTGGCTGTCCTACTTCTGGTGCTGCCCCTCGCGGCCACGGCAGACTGCCCGTGCAGGGACCCGGCGCTGTGTCGGCCCATCAGCCACCACCCAGACTACGAGGTCAGTTCCTCTAGCTTGTCTTCCGGGTCTGCCCGCCAGGAGAATTTAAACTGTGGTTATGAGTAGGCTGCTAATCTCAAGGTCAGCAGTTCAAAACTACCAGCGGTTCCGCGGGAGAAAGATGAGATTATCTGCTCCTGTAAAGATTTACAGCCTCGGAAAACCTACAAAGGGTCGCTGTGAGTCGAACCCGACGTCCCAGCACATAACCACCACCAGCCAGTGTGGGCACCAAAGCAGTTTTCATCACCCAGAAATCCTTCACAGAAGGATTTCCTGTTAACCCTTCCCTAGTGTCACAGCCTGTAGGCAAGTGTTCAAACTCAGATCTGACTCCAAAGGCCAACCACTTTCATTACTGCCTCTCCATGTGCATTTGGGCGTAAAAGCAAAAAAGGTAGGGTATTTAGATGTCCCCTAAATTAAAACAAACAAAAACCCCGTTGCCATCAAGTCAAATTCTAAGTCATAGTGCCCCTCTAAGACAAGGTAGAACTGCCCCACAAGGTTTCCAAGGCTATATATAAATCCTATGGCAGCAGACTGCTGGTGGATTTACACTGCTATCATTTCTGTTAGCAGCCCAACTTTTAACTAAGGCTCACTGTTTTCTAAGTAGCAGGATCTACTGTGTCTAAAAGAATGAGGACTTAATTTGAAGGATCTCAACACTCCCAAACAATATGTTAGAAGGCAACGTGTTTGCTTACCTTTACTCTTCTGCACCTGCCAGCCCTTTCCTTGACCACACCCACTTTCCTTGAGTTGATTCCACTCACAGCCACCCTACAGGACAGGGTAGAACTGCCCCATTGGGTTTCTGAAGCAGTAATGTTTATGGTAGCCTCATATTTCTTCTGCAGAGCTGCCGTTGTATTTGAACTACTGATCTTTCTGCTAGCAGTCAAATGCATAAACACATTGTCACCAGGCTTTCTCCCCGTCCTTGGTGGTGATGGTGGTATACCGTGGAGTCGGTTCCGACTCACAGCAACCCTGTATAGGGTTTCCGAGGCTTTAAATCTTTATAGGAGCAGAAAGCCTCATCTTTCTCCTGCGGAACCGCTGGTAGTGTTAATTTCAAACTACTGACCTTAAGGTTAGCAGTCTGACTGGTAACCACTACACTACCAGAGCTCCTTCCCCTTGCCTTACAACACCTGAAAACCACCAGAAAGGGTGGTAGACGAGATCTTTCTATAATTAACCTTTTATCCTCCTAACAATTTACAAAGTCGTTTCCAATTTTATCAAACGTTATTATGGAGATAATATTAAAACTGAACTACTTGCTGAACTTTGAAAAAGTTGGACAATGTCAGCGAGGTGGAAAAGGTTAGTCCAAAGAACAAATCTTTTGTAGAGATAGGAACTGTTCCAACTTCTTAAACTAGCAGATGATTAGACAAGAAAAAGATGAACCTTTCTGCACCCGTAAAGATTTAAAGCCTCGGAAACCCTATACAGGGTCGCTGTGAGTAGGAATCAACTCAAGACAGTGGGTAGGTTTATATACCAGGGGACCAGGCAACGTCTAAAAGTTTGTGGGAAAATCCCCTTATCCTTTAATTCCATTTTTCCATGAGCTCTTTAAAGCCTCCTCATGTATATGTGTGTGTGTACATATGAGACTATATATTTCCTCTTTATACTTTTCTGGATTTTTTTAGCATATTAAAATTAATCTTAGTATGTGGCACTGTAGGATCAGCAGTGGACAGCAAACCACAAGGTTGGTGGTTCAAACCCACCAGTTGCTCCTTGGAAACCCCATGGGTCACTGTGAGCCAAAACTGACTTTATAGCACTTAACAACATAACAATTTTATACATGTATATCTACACAATATACATACATATACAGAGTCCTGGTGTGGCACTGTGGGTTAATGCGCTGGACTGCAAGGTCAATTTGTGCCACAAGGTCTGTGGTTCAAGCTCACCAGCCGCTCCTTGGAAACCCTATACAGGGTTGCTATGAGTCGGAACTGACTCAATGGCACTTAAAAACAACAACATACATATATATATTTACATACAATATACATTGTTGTTGTTGTTGTTATGTGCCATCGAGTCGGTTCCGACCCATAGCGACTCTGTATAGGGTTTCCGAGGGTGTAAATCTTT